CTAAGAAAAAGTGAGATGTTACATTTCTGAAAAATATTAAGAGAGGAAAAAAAAGCTAAAGCTGGTAAACTTTATCATGGCATGATTTCCTTCTGCCCTCACTCTGTTTAAACAGTCTGCATCCGTAATTGCTTTGAGTCTGTGCAAAATGAGATTAATACATTTAACATCCTGGCAAACAGTGCTATCAGGCTTCCATCACTGATTAAATCAGAAGGAGCAAAGCGTGTGTGATATCACAGGGTAAATCACTGCATCTTTCCCATTTTTTTTTTTTTTTTTTTTTTTTTTTTATCCCTTCATGACCATTTAACTGGAGGTCAGGCTCTTTTGGTGAGCTCACATCAGGCTGAGGAAGGAGCTGAAGTTGTACAACAGAAAAGGCCCATCCTGGAGCTGACACACAGCTGTGCAGAACCTTTGGGAGATGCTAGCCATTCATCTCTGTTACTTGTGACTGTACTGCTTCCTGGAGCTGCTCTGTATTGTTCTGAAGGTGCTGAGTTTTCCCATTCCTGGTTTCCTTCACTTAGTTGAAGATGTGATCTACAGATCCTCTCCGTGGCAGCCATACCTCGGGCAGCTTTGAGGGGGTTCCCTGTGCTCTGAGTGGTGCTGGTGTGGTTGCAGCACTGGGAGTTCTACCATGGGGCTGAAAGAGCAAATGTCCTCTGGGAATCCCTGCCTAAATTGGGCTGTGTGTGCAGTGGCACCAGAGACTGAAAGAGTACATTTAAAGAGACTCCAGTCTGCTGGGGTGACTTTTTATCTGTAGCATAACTGACCCCTCAAGCATTTAAACTGTTCAGCAGTTGAGTTTCTGAAAAACCACAGGTTGGCTTTAAAAAGTGTGGCTTTTAAAGTGCACTTTGATTTTGTTGTTTTTTTTTTTTTCTTCCTAAATTTGCCCTCCAGTTTGCGTTTTTAAGTGCAAGGTGGGTCACGTTGCTCAGCTTTCCTCTGCAAGTTCATTCATAATCACTTACCTGTTTGACTCGGTGAGTGCAACTTTGTAAATATGAAATGCTGGGAGACCAGCAGTGAATTTACATGAAGTTCAAATGCTGCCTTGTACTCTGTGTTCTGATGTGCTTATAATTCAGTCCCAGCAACGTTTATGTGGTCATACATATGTCCTTATGGTTGGCCTGGCAATGAATTTCCTCTTTTCTCTTCAGCTACTTGAAAACCAGCAGGCCAGATAACTTTTGTGTGTGCAGATGTGTAAATACACACAGGCAGCATCTCCTGTGCCAGGCAGGCTGGCCCAGCACACAGGTCTGCCCAAGGGAACTCGTGGTTGTCTCCTAACAAGCAAACGGCAGCAAATTATGCTTCAATTATTTTTGTATATCCTGATGAAGTACCATGAAATACCGCTTTAATTGCAGAGTACATCTCGCATTTAATGAACTCTGGCTCTGCAGCAGAGAGGGCAGGCAGTGTTGATTTCAGCGATGCTGCACGCTTTGCAAATGAGGCTTTGTGTCTGATTACAGCTAACAATATATGGGCATAGGATATGACACTGGTAACAAATACCCATTCAGAGGTAAAAATGGTGTTGTACACCAGCTGATGCCCATACAGACTTTTTAATTGGCAGCTGGCGCCTTTCTGAATCCAGATGCATTTCTACGTAGGGAAAAATGATAAATCCTCAGTCTCTTGTAAAAGAAGGGAAGATGGTTTGGTGGGTTTTTTTTTTTTTTTGCCTTTTCTCTCTTGCATACACAAAATTTTCTTGGTGCCCACTAAGGAAGAAGTATTACCAGGGTGTCTAGGTGCCCAGAAAGTGGGAGAGCTAATGAAGAAACTTCAGACTGCTTCTTAGTGGAGGTATGTATGCACAGACAGATGAGATGTGTGCTGTGGCATTTTGTGGACAGTACATCTGGGCAACTTACCTGGTGTTACCTGCTAGAAAAAAGATGTGATTAAAAGGGAAAGCAAACATACCATGCTCATAGCTGCTATTGTCTAAACCAAGCCACCCGTTCTGGGACCTGAGCAAGACAATGGTGTTTGCTGAAAGAGGCACACTGCAAAGCAGCAGGATACGTGCTGTTCAGTGCACACTCTTGTGTGATGAGTCAGAAAGGTGAGGGAGCAGGGTAGTTAGTGAGTGTTGGTGCTGAGTGGGTCCAGACCCCTTGGCCATATGTGGGGAACTGGAGGAAGAGAGCAGAGATGGATGCCCCATCCCTGGAGGCATTCAAGGCCAGGCTGGATGTGGCTCTGGGCAGCCTGGTCTGATGGTTGGTGACCTTTCACATAGCAGGGGGGTTGAAATTAGATATCATTGTGGTCCTTTTCAACCCAAGCCATTCTATGATTCCTGGTCGCTGTGTGCTGAGAGCCCTGCTAAGAGCCTTGAAGGTGATCTGTTATTGCTCATCATCTCATGGGAGTGTGGACTGGGAGGGAGCAGTGGTGTGGCTTTGGTCGCTATATTCATATCTCTTCTTTAACTTCTCCTCTCCCATTCCTCCCTCTTTGCTGAGTTATTTGCTATGCTCTAAGAAGTCTTTCTGCCCGTTCTGCTTCTAACACCATCCTGAACACTGCGTGAAGAGAGAAAACAAACAAACCTAAAGAACACTGCTTGTAGTCATTTTCCTGTGCACTAAAACAAATGTGTTCTGGTTTCGACATCTCATTTCTTGGTGAGTCTGTTGGCCCGGTCACTTCATTATCCTATCTTTTTGCACAAGTGCCAAGGTAATAGAAATGCTTTCATTTTCCAGATTACCCTTGGGTGCTCCAGACAAACGCTTTCAGAAGCTGATCCACGCTGCCTTGTTTTATGTCAGAATGGAAAAGCTATAAATCTGTTCATCACCCGTCCATTTAGGTTATCCTATTGCACCTGCAGCCCTTTTTAATGCCTTAAAAATAATCAGACCACGTGCTTTCTCTGGCAGACACTCTGCCAAATCAGTTAAAGCTTTATTTGCCTATTTATTTATTTTCCCAAGGGAGCATTTTATTGCTGACAGCATGAGTCAGGACAATTAAAGTGATGAAATATTCCAGCTTCTATGATACGGTATGATTCGGGATGAATTGTTTCTTAGTCACGCTGAGCAGCACAATTAACACTCCGTGTGCTGATAGCTAAAAGGCAGCAGTCTGCCAGCTATCTGAGTCTGCTGACTTCTTCCTTTGCAACCTGGGAAGAAGAAGTGCAGTGCTCTTATGGTGCTGTTTGTGGGCTGCTGTGTGAGCATCAGTGTCCCTAGTTTAGGGGAGCAGGCTGCTGGGTGGGAGGAGGCAGCAGGGATCGTGGCCTTTATTTGGGCTTTGCTGGCTCAGCCAGTGGGTAAATTCTTGTACATTATTCACCCTTGTGCCAGCAAGGATACCAAAATGTTGCTTTTTCTATTGGAACGTTTTAAGTTAATTGTGAAGAGCTATATGGCTTAAGTATAAAAATTACTTCAGGGCATAACTTTACTTTATTCCACTTGGCTTTTTGAAGCAGGAATGCAAAGTGGATTTGGTGGCTGAGTGTAATTTTGAGCGGGATCGTCCTTGTTTATTGTGTTCCCCTCCTGACCCCATAAATCCCAGGAATGCTGCCCCAGGCTCTGGGATGGATGTTGACACAGGTGTCAGGACTGTGCTGCAGGAGCTGCCCTTCTCCTCACTGCGACTTCCTGTTTTCAACTGTAATTTATTTTGATGCAGAAGTCCACAGTCTTTCTTGATCCCTCATTGCCATGCAATTAATGGGTTTTCATGTGCTAGCCATGAAGCCCCAGCTTGGCCTGTCCCAGGACAGCTTTACTTCTCCCAGCAGTGGGGATGGACAGTGCTGTGTGTCAACCAGGCAGGCTAAGGATATGTTGGCAAAGAAAAGCATTTAGAAACCGTGCAAAGTGCTGATACCTGTTCTGATACCAGGCCTTCCTGCCTGAGCCCTTCTCCCCCTGCCTGCCCTCTGGCTTTGCTGCTCTCTGCCATTGCCAGCAGTTACTTGGTTTTCTGCTGCTGCTCTGAGAAGATACTGGCATCCTCTCAGCTTTTATTATCTCATATATAGGCATAATAGCAGCAGGGATAGTATGTCGAATTTGTACAGGTGGAATCACGCCAGGAGAGATTTTAATGGCAAGAAGGAAGAGATAAGGAATAGTATTTTTCACCTGATTGGGTCTGTAAGTGAAGAACACTGGAAAGGAATTGGTCACCTGATACGTTTGTTTTTTCTACCCCAGCCTTGCAAAGCGTGTAAGCATCTGCTTAAATTTCAATGAACTTTAGCACTGGGTGAACCAGGCAGCTGCCTGCATGCCTTGGTGCTTCTGCAGCCTGCTTCCAGCTGAGGGGCAATGCAGGAGGGCAGGGGATTAAACGTTCTTCAGCTGCTATTTGCAAAACTGCTCGCAAAGGGGAGAATGAAAGCAAGAGTGCTCAAACTGAGTGCTGAGATCTACACAGTGTCAATGCTCATCTGGCAGGTTGGACTATGCTATCTATGCTTGACAGATAACATTTAATCTCGCTGTTTCAGGAAGATGTATAAGAGCTGTTCAGCCCCATTAGGCATAGGATAGCTGTCCTGTAAAGTTCTGAGAGTAAAACAGGAGCTTGAATTTCATGCTGCTTTCGAAGGAGAGCAGCAGTGGCCGTGCAGAAGCATCGTGTCATGTCTGTCCTGTCAGTATTCATTGGCTTTGCAGGTTGGGGAAGTGAGCATCTGCCTCTGATGCTGCTCCAGCCCGGCTCCTTTCTGAGCAGTGCTGCATTCCCAAGGCTGCTGTTTTCTTTCCACCCTGTGCTTACCTGGCTCACTTCCTGGCTGTAGCTTCCTATCATGCTGCTCACAAAGCAAAGCCTGTCTTTGCAGAGCAGCATGTTATCGGCCTCCCCAGCAGTGGCAGTGGCAAAGCAGGGGTTAAGCCAGCTCAGTTTGCTGCTCTGCTTGCTCAGGTGTGCAGAGGAGCAATAAAGAATGGCTGATTAGGTGAAAGAGCAGCACCTTGGTGCACCGAGCTTACAAGACCTTGCAGAATTCCACGCTGGGTGCCCTTCTTTCTCTTCATTTATTTTACGTCATTTTTGATGGCAGATATTAATTTTTATGGAAAAGACTGGCCTATCTGCTATTATTTTTTTTCCTGCTGAGTCATTGCCCAACTCAACAGTCATTTGTGTGGTTTGCTTCCTGGACTTGAGTCGGTCGTGTGCCTTCCTTCTCGCCTCCTGCGTTTGCTGTAGCTGTGCTGGTTCCAAGCAGAACTCCATCAGATGGTCCCATGCTGTCACTCCGTGGTTGGGGCGAGTGAGACATGTCCTAACAGCAGGATTTACCCCGTGCTCTGTAAGTTGTTATTCCTACCATAATGCTAGCATTGAAAAATCATTAATCTTCCTACACAGCAGCAGTGTGCGAATGCTGACATTGGATCTCGGAGCAGAGGGGACAAAAAAAACCACCTTGTTCGCTTTTTCTTACATTCCACTGCTGGCATCTGCTTAGGCAGTTTTAACACCTTTTGTGTTTTTAATCCTCTCCGAAATGAGTTTGGAAAGTGGTTTCCTTTTTGTTGTTTGAATATGTTTGAATTATCTGTGCCTGTGTATGTAGTTCACTCCCCACTCCCTTGATGTCTTCAAAATCAGGTTGATGCTCGGATAGGTATTTCAGGGACTTTCTTGTGCTGCCTGATGTAAGATTGAAGTGGTTACCTGGTGGTGCTGTATGATGAAGCATTGCAGTGCCTGTACAACCTCAGGTCCTTGGCTCCAGCATTTGCCAAGCTGAGATAAACGTCCAGGTTCTCCACACTCAGTATGAAGAGCAGTGCATGCACATCAGGATGGCATCTGCAGAAACCCACTGGGGTTTTAGCGGACAGGAGGTCAAAGCCAAAAGGAGGTCTCTGAGAGGAGCACGTTCAGATCTTTCTCATCCCCTCTTTGTCAGAAGATCAGAAGCCATTATAATACAGGTTACATGTGGTATTTCAGCTTTGTGCTTCTCGGTGCAGCCTTTGGAGCTCGTGTTTTGTTTTATGATATGCCATTTCTCAGCCTCTCCTCCAAAAAGAAAAATAAAGCTAAATTAGACTGAAGCCTTGGCTAATTGTTCTCTCTCTCTATTCATCTCTGTGGCAGCAGGAAACCTAGCAGCAGGGTTTCCATTCACAGCAGACGTGTGTGCCAGCTTGAATGCTTGTGTACCAAAAATGCAGACGTGGGTGTTGAAGGTGAAAATGATTGGGTAGTAGTGGTTGCAGCTGTATCCTTGAGAACTTGAGGAAGGGAGATCAATGATCTCTTTCCTGTCCATTTATTTGTTTCTGCTCTAAGATATTCAACATTTGTAAATCATTCCAAGAGGGTGAAGTAACTGATTTGTGCTAACTGAAGAGCTACACCAGCACTGGGTCTGTCTGTAGTGCTGACATTGGTTCTGCACCAAGTAAGGGTGGGAAATGTGTAACACCTTTAATTATGGTCTGCAGGTGCTGCCTTCCACTTGTCACCCCTTCTTGTTTATTGCACTGCTGCCACTTGTTTCTTCATGCCGTGCATCAGAAATGCAAGCAGCAGATAAGCAGGCCTGCAGGTTTGTCCTGGTTACTCCTTTACTTTCCCATCCATGTTAGCTTCAGAATGACCTGCTTGTTTAGAATACACATTTCTCAGCTGCAGCAGAAATAATTGCAGTATGGTTTGCACTGACGGTGGCCATATAACCCCTACCTGGTCAGACACGTCCTTGATGACTTATTATAGTTGTAGATCTTCATTTAGTTCAATTTAGGGGGTCAGGAACCATGCAATAGACATAATAACAGTGCAGCATATTGGCAGTGATCTATAGGCACAGAAAGAACTGAGCATTTTCCTCCTTTCTGCTGCTGATACCATTGATGTGGAGTGATAGCAAAAGTGCTGTTGTAAATAGGATGCTGGTCAGCTGGTCATTTAAATCAAGTCATTAAAGGCAGGATGGCTGGAACTGCTCTTCAGCTGTTTTTTATGCTTGCTTATCTTTCATTCCCTATTTGGTCAGTCAGGTTCCAATGTCCCAGAGTTCGTTTCCCTTCTTTTCCCTGGCAGTGCTCATCTCTGGCTGTTCTTCTCCCCACAGTGTGTTCCCAGCACGCCTGCAGTGAGCTGGGCAGATGGGAGGCTTTGCTGTGGAAGGTGCCCAGCCCTGTGCTTGCGTTTGGCTGGAGATGGGGTTTCCCTACAAAGCAACTAACAGAGCAGACGCGTTGTAAGTGTTGTTTTGTGTTAGGAACAGTTGTCATGTTAACAGCACACGAGGTGAATTGCAACTGTTGAGTTGATGCTGCTTGATCATTTCACGTGCTGAAAGCATCATTTTTCCAGTGTATGCTTGGATCAGGAAGGATTACATTTGCCATGGCTTTGCGTTACCTCTGAACTACAAGTAAATGAGAAATGAGTCCAGATGAATGTCCTTGGATCTGGGTTTGGGTCACGCTTTGTAATTTTGGGGTAAACTTAAAACTTTTCCGTATCTGGATTAGCTGTAAACAGATGGTTTTTATTACTGATTTGTATTATGGTATTTAAGGGCTCCAGTGAAGACTGGAATGGCTTTTGTTGGGCAGAGAGGAAGCCATGAAATGAAACCGTGCCCAGAAGAAAGCATGAACTCAAAAAGCAGCCATCCTTCCCCATCTCCTCTCTGGGCTCAGATTTCAGGGCTGCTCATAGCAGTTCATTAATTGTCAATGAGAGACCAGTACTCTTTTTCCCTAGAGACAGTTTGTTTCTTCGTGTGTTCCTGAATCGAACCAGAGGAAGCCAAGCTAAGAACTGAGCGTTTTCCTTAATTCTTTTCTTACTCAGGGCAAAAGTGATAAGAGAAGCTTATTTAAAGAATAAGTTTTCTAATTGGCTGTCACTGTGTTCTGGAAGAAAATACTAAGCACTTATTAAAGCAATGCCTTTTATGTGCTGCCAAAGCAAAGAGCGGTTTTGCCCAATAATACACGTATGCAGAAAGATGTGATATTTTTTTCAATAAACCTCTTTAATAACCAAGAGCGTGGCTCAGAGCATGTGAAAGCTGAACATTCTTTCCATGAAGCATTCAAAGAAATCCTCCTTTTGCAAAACCTGAATGCAGATTACTAAAGCCAAGTTCAGCAGAGCCCTTAGGCACCATTGCAGCCCCTTGCAGAGCGTGGATGGGCATCTTGCTGCTCACTGAAGTACCTTGCTGTTGGTGTTCCTGAGCTGAGACGGCGCACAGCTGGGTGACACTGGGTACACAAGGCTGCCCACGTTGTGGCAGAAGAGCAGAACCGTCCTTGAAAGCCCTGTGCTTACTGAGCAGCTGCACTGCACAAAGGAACGTTTGGTACTGAGCTCCTGCTGCCCCATCTCAGCAGTTCTCTGACCATCACTGATAAATCAGGAGCTGAAAACCATTGATGTAAACATCTAAAATGAGGCAACAGATGCATCCTTGTTGGCACAGGTAGCGTGCAGTCACTGAGAAATTTAGGTTGGTTTCTGCTGGCTCATATTTGAATAACAGCATAGGATTTTTAAATGGTTCTGTTGTAATGCAATGTTTCTCTATTAGTTTTTCTTACACAGTGGCTTCCCAAACAATCCAATTTTGGCTTCGTAATAATGAACTTACATCAAAAGTGTCCACTATAGCTTTCAACTTAGCAGAATCAATCACAGTAAACCGTTTAGTTATGCCAGGTTTTCATTTTGTGGTCAAGGATTAAATGCAATCCCATTTGCCACTTGTTTGTTTACGAGGTGTGTATATTTACCAGGTGTGCTGACCTTGGAGGTCTTTTGTCTTTGCTTTGTGTGAACCTTGAGACAGACTTCAGGAATCTTATGTTATATAATACAGATAGACATAATGTAATCAGCAAGGTGTTGACAGTGCTGAGTTAAAAGATGGGAAATTAAATTCTCTTTCAGGTCATCGCTGCCTGCCTTCAATTCCCATCTCGTTTCACTGTCCCTGGGGCTCTCGAGCTATCTCCACTTTCCATATTGCATGATTATTTGTTCCTTTCCACTGTATTATTTTAATTTCATGGATATAGATTTTGCTTGGAAAATGGGGTTGGTGGAGGGTGGGTGGTTCCTGGTTTCATTTTTTTCCCCTGTCTCTTTCATGATAGCACAGATATATTTTACAGTGTAAGTTTGAGGCCAGAAATAAAGACGTGCTGGTGTTTCTCTCTAGATTCCAACTTCTTGCCCAGGTGTTTATATGCTTTATGACACCTCTCAATTCTTGTTTCCTAGATGTTGCCTTTCCTTGTGGTGATAAGGGCAGTACATGGTGAAAAGCTGTCTTAATTTTGTGTCATATATTGTGTGTTGACCACTCCAATTCTTGATTTTTCTCTCTGTAGCTCTGTGACTCACTTCACTGGAACAGGTTGCTCAAGGAGGCTGTGGATGCCCCATCCCTGGAGGCATTCAAGGCTGGGCTGGATGTGCAGCCTGGTCTGGTGGTTGGTGATCCTGCACATAGCAGGGGGTTGGGATTGGATGAGCACTGTGGTCCTTTTCAGGCCATTCTATGATTCTGTGACTCCTTGTCTTGATCAAGTTATTTTTAAACCCTTTAAAGAAGAGGTTTTAAAGGCATCTTTCTGTTGATTGTTGGAGTACCTTTCCATGCTGCAAATGGGAGGTGGGGGATCAAAGCCTGGAAACATTGCTTTCTTGTATGGGGACAGACAGGGATGCTGCATCCAGGCAGTTGTTACATTTGCCCTTTAAGTTTAATATGCCCTGGGTTGAGGGGCTTTGCACTGTGCTTCACCTGTAGTGAATTCTTGGAGCCTAAAGCAACCCCAGATCTCATCTGTCTGCAGAGTGTTTTGCTAATCCTGATAGTGGTGCCCATGAAGCGCTGCCTCTTGAACTTGCAGCAGCACATCACGATTCTTTTCTGGTTGCAGTCTGCTGCCTCTGCTCTTCGCCCCTCTCTTGAGCAGTATCTGTTAATAGTGTCAAAACTGAAGAGTGCTCATTGAAGGCAAACATGCTTGCTAGGAGCAAGGAGGATGAGCCAAGTGCATGCACAGTTCCCTGCAAGCGATGCAAAGATTAATCTGCAGAGCGTTGTTAGCGCCCTGATAAAGTCTGTGTTATTCTGGCTTTTTTGTGCAAATTATTTGAGTGACACAAAATACCCATTTTTATCAGATAACGTTTGAAACTCGTTGATTTTAAGCATAGATTTTTGTCACCAAAGGCCTTATTTAAACTTGGCTTTTTGGGTAGGATTTGTATCTGAGAAAGAATTGCTTTCTGTGGAGCTCTAAATCCTTTGGAATCATTGCTTCCATGGGGCAGAGCTGTGCTTTTCTGTGGGCTGAGAAACCTCCCAGCACAACAGCAGTGCTGTATAAATAATAAATAAAAGAATAAATCAGTTATTGTCAGCTCTTGCCTCCTAAATTGAGGTCAGAAAGAGAAGTCATTTGAAGGAGAAGCAGCAGGGAACGCTGACCTGCCCAGTGTCCCATGGGGGGAGTGCAGCCTAAAGATCAGGCTTGGCATTTAATTTAAGAAATATATAGCCAGTCTGAAATGAGTATCTGTCAGGCAGACAATTATCTGTGTGATATGAGGGGTCTGGTGTTCAGAGTGCCTGGTGCTTCCGTGCTATTGCATGGCTTTCAAACCATCAGGCATCTCGATGTAATCTGTCAGTGCCTCGTGTTGTCCCGGAGGAGAAACCATCAGTCAGCAGTGAGGTGGCATCAGGGCCCTGGCAGTCCTGGTTTGCAGTGGGTAGCATTTACCATATCTGACGCTCAGCAGGTGGGATGTGAGCCATCCTGCAGTGCTCACCCATTGCCAGGAGTGCAGGGCTGTGGCTGCAGGGCAGCACCGATGGGCTTTGGTTCCTTGTAAGCAGATAAGGAAGCGCTGCAATGAATGGCAGTTGGCAAATTGGGGGGTTGAGAGCATGGAAATGGGCATTAGGTGTTTCTTGATACAGTTGTGTCATGTACAGATGTGCGAGCTCTGACTTGCAATTCATAAACCTGACTTAGTAGAGAACTTGAAAGAATGGGTGTGAAAGAGGGCTGTGCCTTATGTGAAACGTCCTGTAAACGTTTGTTCCAGTACATTTGTTTCTCAGTTTACACCATAGAAGGATTCAGTCATCTGAAGAGAGATTGCTTAATGACCTCTGTGCAGGCAGAGCTGTGATTAATGTAACGGTGTTGGCTGCTGTTTGATGGGCGCACAGAGCTGCAGAGCAGCTGAAGAAGTGGCATTTCAAATACAGTGGCATTTCTGTCATTACGGGTCATATTAAATTGTAGTGAATTTCCAGTCAATTACAGCTCCCATGAAATAGCTGAGTGTGGGCTGTATGGAGCAGAGCGGGTTCTTTAGTTTCATTTGTCCCTTAATGTTTACAAAACGTGTCCATGCTTTATGTCAGTGCCAGTGGGCAGTGGATATCCATGTGTGTAATATTCCCAACTTATCTTTAAGTGAAGCCATACGAGCTCAGAAACCTCCTCCTCTCGGCAGTGTAGCTCCAGGCTTTGTTTCATTTTTGCTCTGCTCTGGGTGGTGACAAGAGGACAGGAGGTGTTCCACCTCTCAACTCCTTTCCTCCTGCCTTTCTTTCGGGATAAACTGTAGCAAGAAGCAGGCAGCCATCCTTACAGTAACATTCCTTTAGCTTCAGAGGTCACTTCCATCCTCCTCTGACTGCTTCCCAGCTGCTGAGTTTGTTAACACTTGGTAACATTGAATCGAGAACTCACACGGGTGACTCCACTGGCTCATTTTGCTGTAGAGCATGCGTGCATCCTAAAGGCAGGAGGCACAGCGTCCTTGGGCAGCCCTGCAGTGCTGGCAGCATTTCAGACATGTGGGAAGTTTATTTGTCAAAAGGAAAGCATTGGCTTTGGTGGGAAAGGCTATTAAGAAAACAGATTTCTGATGGGAAATCCAGGGGGGACTGGCATAAACCTGAGGAGCGTATGGTAAATAGACTTGTAATCCAGTGTGCACGTAAAGGTGTGAATTCAGTCGTCTTATTTTCAAATCTTAAAGCTGAGGAAGCATGCTGTTTGTTTTAATTGTGTATGTAGCACTGATTATCAGATGGGTTACTCTCAATAAATGTCATCTACTAACAGAAGCCTGCCTGAATCTTCTGTGTTAGCGAAGCCACAGCAGATGATGCTGCACCTTGCAAGGAGTCAGTGCCTGCTTCTCACAGGCTAAGGGTGTTTGTATGGGCAAAGAGCAGCTTGTAAAGTTTCTCAGTGCTTTAAGACCTGTGAAGACGTCCGCGTATCAAACCTGTCTGTCCTCCTTTTCAGAATGATGAAGTCCTCTTTACATTCAGAAGAAGATGACTTCGTGCCAGAGCTTCAGAGAAGCATCCATCCCCGAGAGAGGCCGGACTGGGAGGAGACCCTCAGCGCTATGGTAAAACGCCTGGCTGCATTTTTGTATGCGTGGCTTTTGTTCCCAGTAATCGGCACTGCTGGCTCTTGTGTTTCACATTATGCTTTGATTCTTCCTCCGTGAATTTCGGCTTTTTAAATGGGTTGTGTTGTAGTTTCATAAGACCAAAATACTTTCCTTCCTCTGGCGCTTTGTCAAGGGGAGGGAGAAGGAGCTCGCATAATGCTTCTGCCCTATTAATACATGCCCCAAAGCAGGTCTGGTAACCAATTAAAAGGTCTGTAATGTCACAGCGATTCAGTCTGCATTAACCTCGTTTTCGGCAAGACTTTGGAGCATGAAGGGAACTTCTTGTAAAAACATGCTCTTTGAAGCATGCAGCATTGTGGAAGAATGCGATTTTAGCAGAATGCTGGCAAAGTCTGCAGCAGTGAAACGTTAGCCTGAAAGCCAACCTGAAAGGAATTGCAGAAAAGAAAGCACAAAGGTGCTGCTCTCATCCTTATCACAACACTGCAAGAGGGCTGTGGGCTGCAGACTTCTGCATTACCCTAATTGGTTTGTTTCCTTTTTAAACGAATGAGTGGAGCATCTCTCTGCCTTCACCTCCTCTTCTCCCAGCTCCTTTAGGATTTGCTGAGCTCAAACAGGAGGTTGTTATTTAATTTAGTTGCCAAATTAGGCAATCTGATTAGGTGGTTTTTGTGAAGTTATCTTACCTCACAGATATCTGACCTGCCTTACCTCAGTACAGAACTGCCCAGATGTCCTATCTTGTTATTTCTATATATTTTAAATTGCTTCATTAGCCTATTAAGCAGAAGAGGAAATTGCATTCTGCGACAGAGCTTGGACAGGGGGAAGATCTGAATGTTGATGGGTGGCATTGCTGCTCCTGCTGGGGCAGCCCAGCTGCATGGCTCAGATGACTTCTGTGATGTGAGACCAGTGACAATTTTTCCTTTGCATCACACGGTGTGGCAGAGCATCTGGAGAAGCCGTATGTTTTCTGCTCCTGACTCGCAGCAGCATGAGAGATGGGCTGGGTTTAGCTGTGCTGCAAGGGCAGTCAGAGCCATGTGATGTATGGGGCTGAGGGTTTGCAGAGAAGCCCAGGTGCTGTATGGGAAATCCGTGCTGAGCTGGTTCTCTCCTAAGCTTGGTTAAGGGGAAGGAGCTCAGAGGCTTTTGTGGATAAACCTCCAACGTTTTGGGGGAGACGTGAGGGGAGAAACAGTTCTCACTGTTGCTCGGTAAATGATTTGTGTTTGTCCTTTTCCCTTTGGAATTGCAGTGCTGTTGAGAAATGTTAGAGTTGTTTCACTGCAGCATTGCTGTATGTGCCAGAATCTCCATGGCTGGGATTCTCATACAGACCTATGATGACATTCTGTAGTTCTTAGTACACCTTAATGACCACTATTACTACCAGCAGCACATAATTTGGAGGTGTAAGTTGTATGGCTGTGATTTAGTATCAACAGTGCAGTGAAATGGGATTGAAACATCACAGCAGACATGTTCCTCTAGGTTACCTCAGTCTTTATGTGACAACATGGGATTCCTAATGCTCCCATAAAAGATCTGAGACGCTGCTTTGTTTGAAAGCATCAACCTTGTCCTGTATGCATTTGTGTTTCCTGCAGCAGCACCTTCCTGAATGACCTTTCAAAGGAAGGATGCAAAGTACACAACCTTTACACTGTGCCCTACAGTGAGAGAGCATGCATTTCAACTCAGCTTACTTTCACAGGCTGAGCAAGCCTTTCTGAGAGGTGGTTTAAGTGAATCAGTGCTACTCACGAAGCCGTGGAAGAATCCAGCAAGACAGATAGAGCAAACAAACATTGAGAACCCAGTGGAACATGAATGTTCATCCTGATGGATTATTTTAAGGTTTAAAGCACCATTCATATCTGGCTGGATCAGATGAAGAACATTTTGGGTGAAATATTTGTTATACACAGTTAAGATGTGTACCCTCACTATAAGACAGGTATTTATTTTTATGTTAAGTAAGACAACCAAGTGTTTGTACTGTTTTAAAAGCATTATCAAACCTTCTATGCATAATGATAGTATTTTGTTTCAAATTCCTTTTTCAGGCCAAAAAACCCCAAACCAAGACAGAGCTCTGGCCTCTCCAGTATTTGGCCTGCTGGTGTTTTTCTGTACTTCTTATTCTACTCAACTCCATGCTTCTCTGCTGTTAGTTCTGACTTTTAGCAGTTGTCTCTTACTGGATATGTTTTTTTTTTCTCTATCTGCAGGTATTTTTTTTTTCCTTCTCTCTGCATTGGCCAGCAGATCTCAGTGATGCTGCATGTGTGAGAGCACTGCCTGTTCTCATCAGTGTTACTCAGCCAGCAGTGCATGCTGCAGCCTCAGAGCATGGAGCTTCTTCACACTGCACAGCTAGGGCTCATGTGGGTCACTGACACAGTGCTGTCTGTAACCTCCAGGAGTGTCTCAGGAGTATTATCTCTAATTCAGTCTCCACCTGTGACACAAGTTAGCTAGCATACCTCATTTATTAGAGTTAGGGTACTTAGGGTGTTATATTTGTTAGAGTTAGTATGGTTGGGTTGCATTTGGACTTGATGATCATTAAGGTCTTTTCCAGCTATGATTCTGTGATTGTTGTAGTCCATTGGATGCTTTTTTCCAAGGAAATTCAGGTCTGAGATTTGCTGCACTGTGACTTGGTGTGGTAGAGCACAAGGCTAAATGTTAAAGACTGAGCTTGTAGTTACAACGGCTAGGATCTGTGCTTGTGGTGTTCCGACTTCATGCACATTGGATGTAGATGGACCTAAAAGCCTCACTAGCTCGTCTTTTCTGTGTTAAGTGAATCAAATTTACATTTTCAACCTCTGCTTAATGGCCAGTCGGAAGGTGAGACTTACAGGATGCTTTCCTGCTGAGAATTTACATTGTCTTGTTGTACTTTTTGCTTAACCAGTGAATCTGCCGTATTTGTGTCTTTCTTGATCTTTTTAATCATGAGCCTTCCTTCCTTGCTCTCTTCACTTTGCATTCTTGGCAGACTCAGGTTTGCTCCTTTCCTGTAGTTTGCTCCTTACGTGCTATGTGAGTTTCTCATAGTTGCACAATAAACTCATTTTCTGGTTAGCTGTTGAAGTTGCAGACAGGTTCTGTTGTCGCTTGTTGTTTCAGCCTTTGGTTAATGGAGGCTGTAAAGGCTTGGAGGAGTTGGATGCAGCTGAGCTGTTTTCTGTTCTCCACTGCTTCTCATTGTAGACAGCTGGAGACCCAACTGGATGCAAGGCTTTGTCACTTGGAATGAATGTCACACTCTGCCAGGTGAGGAACTGCTGAGACTAGCAGCAGTGCAAAGAGCTTGGGAAATTCTGACACAACAGACAGATCTGTGATGCTCATTCAGTTGTCTCTCGAACTTTGCCTCTCTACATGCTTTTGTACTTTGGGAAAGGTGTTCTATGCATTCACAGTTAGGCGAGCATCCCCTTCCCTCCCCCTTTTATCTGCAACGTGTTTGGAAGTGCTTATTATTAATTTATGTGAGTGCTTTGTTTCCAAACCTGCTTCTCAACAAGAAATAAACTGAAGGACTTCCTAAATACACAGAGGTTGAATGTCCTCCTGTTCTCTGAATATCAGATGGGACAGAAACTCTATTTTTAATATTTTTGTCCTTGTTGTCTAATCATGGGCACCTGAGTTTTTTCGTCCTTTGTAGGATTCTAATTTGTACTTTCAGCTGCTGTTCTTTGTAGTTCAGCACACAGGCAGGTGGTTTTCTTGGTTGCTTTGGGTACTTTGGGTGGCTCCTGCAGCTTCATAGGAGCTCTATAATCCTGAGCCAGATTGAGAGCCAGACCGACTGAGATGCAGCACTGGATGGACAGACTTCATAGGAGTCAGGTCATAACACAACGTCTCGACCAGTCCTCAAGGATTGCTATATTTTGTAGCAGCCTCTGATTATATTCTCTATTTTTAGAATTTAGTAATATTATCTGCACCATTTTTCTCATGTCTCAGCCCCCTGGTCCCACTGCGCTGCTGGGTAACCTTCACACCTGCCCTTTTTCTTTCTCTCTGCTCCATTTTGAAAGGTGCAATTGGTGATGCTGACTTTCTTTGTGAAATACTTGTGAGCTCTGGGGACAAAAAGCCATGTTTGAGCCAAGTGATGTTGCAGCATATGATTTTCTAGCATATCTCTGAGCTGGTTGTGTTACCATACAGGAAAGGAGCATCTTTCCCTTGTAAGGACCTGAAGAGTGCTCTGTTTCTATTGCTAGAAGGAATAAAGTTGTGAAAGAGGCTTTAAATAAGATTTCTCACACAAACCTACAAAACAGCTGTCCTCAGCCTGTCATTAACTTCAGTGTAATCTGATCGTTTTACTTAATTTTGCATTTACCTTCTGTCTTTGACCATCTGACTTGCTCTTAGCACCTCACTGTGGGTGCAGGGTTGCTGTGCTATAAAAGCTGCCTCTCCCTGTAGCAGGATTTTGTCAGAATTTTGTGGGGAAATGGAATTAAAAGAGTGAAATGAATGTGGAGCTCTTTATTCATGTTCTTCTTTCAAATGGTGCTGCCACAGGCTGATAGCACCTGGAGCTGCACTAAGCCAGCAGGCAGACCTGAACTGGAGATAAGGTGAATGTACTGAGTCCAAAACTGGAAATAGGATTTCTTTTCTATATACACACAACATATGTTTCTGAACAAGGTGGCTCTTTCTGCAGCATCTGTCGTGTCTTCCAGTCCCTAAAGTTGTGGTGGGTTTATTTCCTGAGGGATTTGGATCCATGTTGCCTTGAGCAGAGTGCTGGGATCATCCTTCCAGCTGGGCTCATCCAACAGTGTCCACAGGGCATCCTTCACAAGTACATCCCTCCTGGATGTGTCCAGGGGCTTCCCATCCCACACCTCTCAGCAGTCACTTTGGAGATCTGGCAGTGCAATTAGGGATGAGGTTATTAAGATGGTAACCTCAATATCCCCAAATGAACCTGGTTTGAAACC